TAAGAGAGAGGAATTGTCTTTTTTATTCAAGGATTGATGAATAATATATTTTACCTTTATTTGATGATGGATGAATCAGACATTTTCCTTTTTATGAGATGTGATTTCAAAATTTATATTTTAAATTACAAAAATGAAACAATATCTCTTATTAGCACCCTAAATACTAACTTTATTTACCAGAGCTCCTGTTAGTCAGAATTACTGTTCACTCCCCACCGCGTGAAGGTAGGAGATGGATTTTAGGGGAGCAAGGAAATGAAAAAAAGAATGAAAATAAGAAGGAAGAAATAGAAAAAAAGAGACAAAGATATGAATTATAAGAAAATATAATAAATATTTATACTTCAAGAGTTGATGATTATCGGGTTACAACACATATGCATTTGTAGCCATATAAAAAATATAATATTATAAATTTTATAATATAGAAAATTTTACCAAAAAAAGGAGATTTCAATCTCTTTTCTTTGCTCAAGGTGGTTTCGTTTTTGAAGATGATGTTGTGATTTCCTTGCTCGTAGTTTGTCGTAAATAACCTAAAATAAAACGTGTAAATTGAAATTAAATAGAATATACTGTTGTTGGTGAGGAAGATGGTTTAGCGATGGTGAAGAAGTTCTCTTTTCTTTGCTCAAGGTGGTTTCGTTTTTGAAGATGATGTTGTGATTTCCTTGTTCGTAGCGTAAATAACCTGAAATAAAACGTGTAAATTGAAATTATAAAATAGAATATACTGTTTTTGGTGAGGAAGATGGTTTAGCGATGGTGAAGAAGTTCTCTTTTCTTTGCTCAAGGTGGTTTCGTTTTTGAAGATGATGTTGTGATTTCCTTGTTCGTAGTTTGCGGTAAATAACCTGAAATAAAACGTGTAAATTGAAATTATAAAATAGAATATACTGTTTTTGGTGAGGAAGATGGTTTAGCGATGGTGAAGAAGTTCTCTTTTCTTTGCTCAAGGTGGTTTCGTTTTTGAAGATGATGTTGTGATTTCCTTGCTCGTAGTTTGCTGTAAATAATCTGAAATAAAACGTGTAAATTGAAATTATAAAATAGAATATACTGTTTTTGGTGAGGAAGATGGTTTAGCGATGGTGAAGAAGTTCTCTTTTCTTTGCTCAAGTTGGTTTCGTTTTTGAAGATGTTGTTGTAATTTCCTTGCTCGTAGTTTGCCGTAATAACCTGAAAAAAAACGTGTAAATTGAAATTATAAAATAGATATTACTGTTGTTGGTAGCGATGGTGAAAAAGTTCTCTTTTCTTTGCTCAAGGTGGTTTCGTTTTTGAAGATGATGTTGTGATTTCCTTGTTCGTTGTTTGCCGTAAATAACCTGAAATAAAACGTGTAAATTGAAATTATAAAATAGAATATACTGTTTTTGGTGAGGAAGATGGTTTAGCGATGGTGAAGAAGTTCTCTTTTCTTTGCTCAAGGTGGTTTCGTTTTTGAAGATGATGTTGTGATTTCCTTGTTCGTAGTTTGCCGTAAATAACCTGAAATAAAACGTGTAAATTGAAATTATAAAATAGCATATACTGTTGTTGGTGAGGAAGATGGTTTAGCGATGGTGAAGAAGTTCTCTTTTCTTTGCTCAAGGTGGTTTCGTTTTTGAAGATGATGTTGTGATTTCCTTTATCGTAGTTTGCCGTAAATAACCTGAAATAAAACGTGTAAATTGAAATTAAATAGAATATACTGTTGTTGGTGAGGAAGATGGTTTAGCGATGGTGAAGAAGTTCTCTTTTCTTTGCTCAAGGTGGTTTCGTTTTTGAAGATGATGTTGTGATTTCCTTGTTCGTAGTTTGCCGTAAATAACCTGAAATAAAACGTGTAAATTGAAATTATAAAATAGAATATACTGTTTTTGGCGAGGAAGATGGTTTAGCGATGGTGAAGAAGTTCTCTTTTCTTTGCTCAAGGTGGTTTCGTTTTTGAAGATGATGTTGTGATTTCCTTGCTCGTAGTTTGCCGTAAATAACCTGAAATAAAACGTGTAAATTGAAATTAAATAGAATATACTGTTGTTGGTGAGGAAGATGGTTTAGCGATGGTGAAGAAGTTCTCTTTTCTTTGCTCAAGTTGGTTTCGTTTTTGAAGATGATGTTATAATTTCCTTGCTCGTAGTTTGCCGTAATAACCTGAAAAAAAACGTGTAAATTGAAATTATAAAATAGAATTTACTGTTGTTGGTGAGGAAGATGGTTTAGCGATGGTGAAGAAGTTCTCTTTTCTTAGCTCAAGGTGGTTTCGTTTTTGAAGATGATGTTGTGATTTCCTTGTTCGTTGTTTGCCGTAAATAACCTGAAATAAAACGTGTAAATTGAAATTATAAAATAGAATATACTGTTTTGGGTGAGGAAGATGGTTTAGCGATGGTGAAGAAGTTCTTTCTTTGCTCAAGGTGGTTTCGTTTTTGAAGATGATGTTGTGATTTCCTTGTTCGTAGTTTGCCGTAAGTAACCTGAAATAAAACGTGTAAATTGAAATTATAAAATAGCATATACTGTTGTTGGTGAGGAAGATGGTTTAGCGATGGTGAAGAAGTTCTTTTTTCTTTGCTCAAGGTGGTTTCGTTTTTGAAGATGATGTTGTGATTTCCTTGTTCGTTGTTTGCCGTAAATAACCTGAAATAAAACGTGTAAATTGAAATTATAAAATAGAATATACTGTTTTTGGTGAGGAAGATGGTTTAGCGATGGTGAAGAAGTTCTCTTTTCTTTGCTCAAGGTGGTTTCGTTTTTGAAGATGATGTTGTGATTTCCTTGTTCGTAGTTTGCCGTAAATAACCTGAAATAAAACGTGTAAATTGAAATTATAAAATAGCATATACTGTTGTTGGTGAGGAAGATGGTTTAGCGATGGTGAAGAAGTTCTCTTTTCTTTGCTCAAGGTGGTTTCGTTTTTGAAGATGATGTTGTGATTTCCTTTATCGTAGTTTGCCGTAAATAACCTGAAATAAAACGTGTAAATTGAAATTAAATAGAATATACTGTTGTTGGTTAGGAAGATGGTTTAGCGATGGTGAAGAAGTTCTCTTTTCTTTGCTCAAGGTGGTTTCGTTTTTGAAGATGATGTTGTGATTTCCTTGTTCGTAGTTTGCCGTAAATAACCTGAAATAAAACGTGTAAATTGAAATTATAAAATAGAATATACTGTTTTTGGTGAGGAAGATGGTTTAGCGATGGTGAAGAAGTTCTCTTTTCTTTGCTCAAGGTGGTTTCGTTTTTGAAGATGATGTTGTGATTTCCTTGCTCGTTGTTTGCCGTAAATAACCTGAAATAAAACGTGTAAATTGAAATTAAATAGAATATACTGTTGTTGGTGAGGAAGATGGTTTAGCGATGGTGAAGAAATTCTCTTTTCTTTGCTCATGTTGGTTTCGTTTTTGAAGATGATGTTGTAATTTCCTTGCTCGTAGTTTGCCGTAAATAACCTGAAAAAAAACGTGTAAATTGAAATTATAAAATAGAATTTACTGTTGTTGGTAGCGATGGTGAAAAAGTTCTCTTTTCTTTGCTCAAGGTCGTTTTTGAAGATGATGTTGTGATTTCCTTGTTTGTAGTTTGCCGTAAATAACCTGAAATAAAACATGTAAATTGAAATTATAAAATAGAATATACTGTTTTTGGTGAGGAAGATGGTTTAGCGATATTGAAAAAGTTCTCTTTTCTTTTCTCAAGGTGGTTTCGTTTTTGAAGATGGTTGTGATTTCCTTGTTCGTAGTTTGCCGTAAATAACCTGAAATAAAACGTGTAAATTGAAATTATAAAATAGCATATACTGTTGTTGGTGAGGAAGATGGTTTAGCGATGGTGAAGAAGTTCTCTTTTCTTTGCTCAAGGTGGTTTCGTTTTTGAAGATGATGTTGTGATTTCCTTGCTCGTAGTTTGCCCGTAAATAACCTAAAATAAAACGTGTAAATTGAAATTAAATAGAATATACTGTTGTTGGTGAGGAAGATGGTTTAGCGATGGTGAAGAAGTTATTTTTTCTTTGCTCAAGGTGGTTTCGTTTTTGAAGATGATGTTGTGATTTCCTTGTTCGTAGTTTGCCGTAAATAACCTTAAATAAAACGTGTAAATTGAAATCATAAAATAGAATATACTGTTGTTGGTGAGGAAGATGGTTTAGCGATGGTGAAGAAGTTCTTTTTTCTTTGCTCAAGGTTGTTTCGTTTTGGAAGATGATGTTGTGATTTCCTTGTTCGTAGTTTGCCGTAAATAACCTGAAATAAAACGTGTAAATTGAAATTATAAAATAGAATATATTGTTGTTGGTGAGGAAGATGGTTTAGCGATGGTGAAGAAGTTCTCTTATTTTTGCTCAATGTAGTTTCGTTTTTGAAGATGATGTTGTGATTTTCTTGCTCGTAGTTTGCTGTAAATAACCTGAAATAAAACGTGTAAATTGAAATTATAAAATAGAATATACTGTTGTTAGTGAGGAAGATGGTTTAGCGATGGTGAAGAAGTTCTCTTTTCTTTGCTCAAGGTGGTTTCGTTTTTGAAGATGATGTTGTGATTTCCTTGTTCGTAGTTTGCCGTAAATAACCTGAAATAAAACGTATAAATTGAAATTATAAAATAGAATATACTGTTGTTGGTGAGGAAGATGGTTTAGCGATGGTGAAGAAGTTCTCTTTTTTTTGTTCAATGTAGTTTCGTTTTTGAAGATGATGTTGTGATTTTCTTGCTCGTAGTTTGCTGTAAATAATCTGAAATAAAACGTGTAAATTGAAATTATAAAATAGAATATACTGTTTTTGGTGAGGAAGATGGTTTAGCGATGGTGAAGAAGTTCTCTTTTCTTTGCTCAAGGTGGTTTAGTTTTTGAAGATGATGTAAAGTTGGTGATTTGAGGGTGAATAACAAAGTTGGTGACTTTTTTAAATTTCTTACAAATTATGAATTTAAGATTTCATTATATACGATATTTTGTGTGAATGTTTTATCATTTTTTAAAATTTTTCCTTGTAATTCTGATGGCAATATCATAATTTTCATAATATTTTGAGATTTCTATTAAGAGCCACATATAGTTGTCCATAGGCAAAGACGGGCTCAGGAAGGAATAAGCCTACATGATCAAAAGTTTGTCCTTGACTTTTATTTATTGTAATCACAAAAGCAGGAATTATAGGAAACTGTCGTCTTTTTAAAGTAAATGGTAACTGAGAGTCACTTGGAGCTAGATCTATTCGTGGGAGAAAATCTCGATAACCCTTATTAGTGCCTGTCAATACCTCAGCGTCGATAAAATTAATATGTAAATGTCGTATGATTAAACGGGTACCATTACAAAGTCCTTTCTTTGGGCTCAAGTTGCGTAATAGCATAACAATTGTACCAACCTTAAGTGTTAGCTTGTGAGGTGGCATACCGGATGGAGTTTGTGTATGCAAAAATTCTAGTGGAAAATTCATTATATCATCCTTATTATCGCTTTCAATGGAATCTGCACTATAATAATGTTTGATAGGGCCTGAAATTATATTAATGATATCGTTGTTGAGGGTAAGTGCAATTTTATTTTTGGTGGTTAATATTATTTTAGTAGAAAGACTATCTATATCAGCAATTTCTATAGAATTACCATACACTCATTTTATTAATGAATCATTTTCAAGCAAATAAGGTGGGATTTCAACACTATTTGTAGAAAGATCAGAATTGCTGCGTGATAGCCCATCTCCAATTTTAAGTAACCAAGCATTGTAATCAACTTGATCTGATGAAATACGCATATTATCAATCAAATGTATTATTTTAAAATGACTCCATAAATATGAACTTTTTATACAGGACTCTATAATATCGACTTTGGAGCTTTTAGGCACTACTGGTAAAGTCTGTCTAAGATCACCACCTAATAAAATTACTTTTCCGCCAAATGGGTGGGAATTTTTCATAATGTCTTTAAGTAATCGGTCAATGCATCGCAAAGCGTGTTTAGTCATCATTGTGGCCTCATCAATAATAATCAATTTGCTATTTTTAATATCTAGAGCTAGCGAACTATGTAAATTCATATGGGATGTAGAAGTTTCAAAGATAGGCACAGGTAATTTAAATCCGCTATGGATGGTTTTTCCCCCCTTTAAAAGAATAGAGGATATGCCGGTGGTTGCAAAAGGCGATGCAATTTGATTTTTTGCTCTTATATAACACATTAAGGTATTGTAAAGATACGTTTTACCTGAACCTCCAGGGCCATCCACGAAGAAATATCTTTCTGGAATATTTTCTAATTCAATCGCTTGTATAATTAAATCAAAAGCATATTTTTGTAATCGGTTTATTTAGATATACGCTTGATTGAATCGGCAGCTTCAACATGGGCATCATAATGTTGTTTTGGGGGGATTTTTGTAGGTGAAGGAAGATCAAAACTTTGACAGCATAAACCATGATCAAGAAAAACGTTTTCGATGTCCATTAAAGCCATGTTTATTGCAATTACTTCTGAATATTGACGCAAATAATCTTCAATCATCATAAATCTGAACCTATTCCATAGATTTCAGGCTGACAAAAAATGCAGATAAAGGCAAAAGTACTCCGAAGTTGTGACGGCATTTGATATATTGATCCCTCTTCTAAGCATGATTCCCACTCTTTATCATCTGATAACAAATTTCTTTTAATAGCTGCCTCTTTAAAAGTACTCATTAAAATTCCATTAATAGTTTTTAAATAATCAAAACTTGTAGCCCCGCAAACATGAAGTAATAATAATCGAAGGAAGAATCGTTCACCAGAATTAGGATGAACGGAATACATTCTCGAAATTACATTTAATCGTTTTTTTCTTAGTGTCCAATGGTAATTTGTAAACACATAATGATAAGGTATTTCCCCATAAAGATATTGTCTAGCATTTAGATCTGTCTTATTTAACTCAAACCATGCCGTTAAAGTAGTATGTTTATTTTCTGATCTCAATAAAGCATCTCTTTCATGTCCAGCAGTGAAATATACTGACTGTTGTAAAGGTAAATGAATTCCTAAGCGAATAACAGCGTGCGAGCGGTCATGCATATTATTTTCTAATAATCTCCACATTGATTCACATGCACTCACATATCGCGCATTTAAATGTGATTTAATTTCGTCATGAATATTTATATTTGAAGCAACATTAATGTCAACATTAATACAGTCATAGCCCTTATAAATATACTTAAAGATATATTTTACCGATTTAATAGATGTACAAATTTCCACGTTAATATGAGCATTGAATTTTAACATTAGATATCGATTATATGGAATAACATAACGATTATTCGTAGGTTTACCGGAAAGAATTGTAATACCATTATCTCGCCTTTTATTATATGGATACCCATCAATATTTGGTCTTGTTTCCATTTGAAAATCCTTCGGAAATTTTTTGGTACATATGCCATTTTCCATGCAAGGCGATTTGGGGTTAAATATCCCGCAAGGACCATGTATCATAAAATGGGTAACAATCTGAAAAAGTTTAGGATCGAGAATTTTATCTGGCATTTCGGCACAAACAAATTTATCTATAGCTTGAGATGTTTCAATTTTGCTATCATCGTTTAAAATAATAAGTATATGGGCATGAGGCAAACCTCTTTTTTGGAACTCGATTGTATATATAAAAGCCATAGATTTACCAAATAAATTTTTTTTATTTATATCGAACAATAATTCATTTAATTTCAATTTAAAAACACGGGCTATTAAATCTGGTCTATCTGTAGGACTTTGCCCGGGAAATAGATTTTCCTTAATTTCACGCCAATTAGGATTGCATGTAAAAGTAATAAACAAATCAGGTTTGCCAAATTTGAGCACAATGGCCATTGCATCGTGATAGCGTTCTCGCATATTTCTTTGAGAACCTTGAAAAGATGATGGTAATATTACTGCTTTGCCGGGAATTATATTGTTTGACTTTGTTTCCAAGTAGTCCATTAATCCAGAATATTCATCTACTCGTAATTTTGGCTGATTTTGTCTAATAAAATTTAAATTATTCGCCTCGACCTGTAAATAGGAATCAACAATATATTGTTGTGATAATTTCCCAGCAAAAAGGATTGGGTTGAATTCATTTTCACGAATTGCTAATCTAAATATTTTAAACTGTAGTAGTGAGATATTTGCCCTTGTACGCCCTGTATCTTCACCCTTTAAATCTGGTTTCCAACCAGGGTCACCAAAAGGAAATAATAGAGGATATACCATTGGATCAAGATTAGGGCTTAATATATTTATATTTATCAGATCACTACCATCAACTCGAGGATAGACCTTGATATCCCGTTTAAATGGGGGTTCACCATCATCATCATAGCTACTTCATCTATATTAGGAATGTTATATCTTCGCTTGTCACTTGAGCGATCTGCACGAAAAATCAATTGATTTTTTGAACTGGACGATTTTCTTGAATAGCCCTATTATTTTCTTCTTTCTCAATTTCTCCCAAGGTTTTAAAACTAATAGAAAATGGGTTATTCTGTCTTATTAAAATATCTAATCTTTTTAAGAGATCCTCATTGCAACCAGAATTTTCTTTCATGTGTAACCTGCCATTAACAGCCTGGGTGGTCTCAAGGACATATAGTTGTGCAAATTTAGGAGGCATCCCAGTGGAAGGATATAAATGAGATGTTCGGTGATAAATTTGCCCATGAACTCTAAAACAATATGGGCCTGGGTTTAAACTATTAGAAATCTGTGCTCCCATGGATGCAAACGCAAGTGAACTATTATAAGATCTTATACATTTCATAAAGTTTGAATGAAATTCATTGTTAGGATTAGATAAAAGGTCTTGTAAAAAAGGAATATATCGGATTGATGGTATCTTAACTTTACCCTTATGACAGCAATTCTTAAATTTGCCATCTGTGGGTTTTTCCAATAAAAATTTTAGAGAATCGCAATAATCGCACTTAGTGTTAAGTAATCCACAATAATGTTCTTCTACTAATGATTGTTGTGCAGAAATATTTATCTAAAATAAATAAAATAAATTTGAGGCCTGCTAAAAATTATACATATAATTTAATATTTTTGTGATTATTCAGAGACCTGCAGACCCGGTGTAATTGTAAAATCAATACCATCAAAAATCAATACGTTAATGATTTTTATAAATCTTTGATTCGACATTTATATATGAATCACAAAATTTTATAAACTCAATCAATAAGGTCCATTTAATTTATTTGAATTCATAATATCATTTATAAAACTTTGAATCAACAATTATATAGCACTTCACAAATTACAAATAATGAGTAAACAAATATAAAATATATAGGATATCAAGAATTGTAAAATAAATAAATTCCCTGATAAATTATATAAAAGAATAGAAAATCATATTTATCATATTTATCATTTTAATATATTTAAAACTATTAAATCTATTTTAAATAAAATTTTTACAAATCGAAAATGGCCGCCAATATTTATAAAGCGATGAAAAAATATATAATAAATAAATATTTTATAATTTTAATGGTCGCCAATATATTTGAAGCGATGCAAACATCTTAAAAATCTATACGGTATTGATTCTACAATAGCAATATATCACTACGGTATTGAATCTATAATGATATCAATACGGTATTGAAGTTACAATGGGTATTGATTTCACAATCAATACACCGGCTCTGATGTAAACATATGCCAGGCTTATAATAATTTTTTCTAAAATATTCCATGGGTAATTACGATTATGTAGCACATACTTATTTTATCTTATATTTTGCCCGTCAAGATGATAGTGAAATAAGAATTTTCTTTTTTATTAGTTGATGAAATATATTTTTTATTGTGGACATAAATTAAAATTAATAAACATATACTTCATAAATAAATAATAAATTTTGAATAACCCCTGATGATGGATAAATCAAAAATTTTCTTATCTATCTTATGAGATGTGATTCAGAAATTTATATTTATTAAAATATTTGTTATACATAAATTAAAATTTTTAACTTGGTTTGTTTTTATTGATTTGGGTAGATTAAGATTTTGGTGAATAGTAGATTTTGGTAGTGTCTAATTTAAAAAAATTTATTTGTTAACATAAATTAAAATTTTTAACTTTGTTTGTTTTTATTGATTTGGGTAGATTAAGATTCTGTTGAATGGCACATTTCGACAATATGATCCGTGGAATCTAATTTAAATAAATTTATTTTTTAACATAAATTAAAATTTTTAACTTCGTTTGTTTTTATTGATTTGGGTAGATTACGATTCTGTTGAATGAATGGTACATTTTGGTCATATGATTCGTGGAATTTAATTTAAAAAAATTAATTTATTAAGATAAATTAAAATTTTTAACTTGGTTTATTTTGATTGATTTTGGTAGATTAAGATTCTGCTTAATGGTACATTTCGGTAATATATATCGTGGAATCTAATTTAAAAAAAATCTATTTGATAACATAAATTAAATTTTTTAACTTCGTTTGTTTTTATTGATTTGGGTAGATTAAGAGTCCGTTGAATGGCAATTTCGGCAATATGATCCATGGAATCTAATTTAAATAAATTTATTTATTGTCATAAATTAAAATTTTTAACTTGATTTGTTTTTATTGATATAGGATCACTGAAAAAATTATACTTAGATATTACACCAAAGGTATCTTGTGTAGGAATCTAAAAAAAATAATAAAATAGATTTTAATGGCCCACAGTAATGTTCAACTTGTTCTTATGATTTTCAGTATCTTCAAGATGATTGGATGTTGAAGCAAATTGTTTATTTCCAGTATCTTCAAGATGGTTGGATGTTGTAGGAATAAGACTTTGTTCGTTCCTTTTCTTGATACGACAGTGCCTGTCTCTTTCTAGCTTTCTCCTTATGTTGATTTATTATTAAAATTTAAAAATATAAGAATTACTCAATTTTATAAAAATAAGTTTAGTTTAAAATATTTATTATTGTGGACATAAAATAAAATTACTAAATATATACTTCATAAACTTATTTATAAAAATATGGAAAATATTAGAATAGCTCCTCACCTAATAAATATATATTTCGGAATCACATCTTAAAAATATAAAATTTAATCTTGTTGAAGCAATAATGCCTTCTTTAGATTTTGGTAGTATGAAACGTTCCATTGTTTGGTTTTGTTGAATGGTATCTTGTGTAGGAATCTAAAAAAAAATAATAAAATAGATTTTAATGGCCCACAGTATTTTTAATTTTTGGAAGGCAATTATAATAATTCCTCTATCTGCTGAAACTTATCAGCAATATAAGATTTGCAATCTAATGTTCAACTTGTTCTTGATTTTCAGTATCTTCAAGATGATTGGATGTTGAAGCAAATTGTTTATTTCCAGTATCTTCAAGATGGTTGGATGTTGTAGGAATAAGACTTTGTTCGTTCCTTTTCTTGATACGACAGTGCCTGTCTCTTTCTAGCTTTCTCCTTATGTTGATTTATTATTAAAATTTAAAAATATAAGAATTACTCAATTTTATAAAAATAAGTTTAGTTTAAAATATTTATTATTGTGGACATAAAATAAAATTACTAAATACTTCATAAACATATTTATAAAAAATAATGGAAAATATTAGAATAGCCCCTCACCTAATAAATATATATTTCGGAATCACATCTTAAAAATATAAAATTTACTCTTGTTGAAGCAATAATGCCTTCTTTAAATTTTGGTAGTATGAAACGTTCCATTGTTTGGTTTTGTTGAATGGTATCTTGTGTAGGAATCTAAAAAAAAATAATAAAATAGATTTTAATGGCCCACAGTAATGTTCAACTTGTTCTTGATTTTCAGTATCTTCAAGATTAAGATGTGTAAATTGAAAGTATATGGTTTTGCTCGATGTGGTGTCTGTTAAAAAATATAATTATTTACTGATGATTGAAGGTTTTGCTCGATGTTGTGTCTGTTAAAAAAAATATCAATTATTGTAATTATTATATTATTATATGTTTTGTAATTGTTTTTTGTATTGAAATTCTTTTTTTGAAAATGGCGGTTCGATTTGGTTTATGAATGCATGTTTGATATGTTTAAGCTATGATGATTTTTATTGAATATATATATTATAGATTTGAATTCCTTAGCTCTTGTAGGATTATCTGCAAACATTTTTTTCATACTAATGTTCCTTCCTACCTATTGCCTCAAAATACTTCTGAAATGCTTTCCATGATTTATAGGAGATTAAATCCATTTTGCTAATATGATCTAAATTGGCTTAAAATTGCTATGATAGATAGATAGATAAATTATATATATATAGAAAGAACAATATATTTGACATCAATTAAGACAAAATATTTACATTTCAACTTAGAAATATAATGCTATTTAAAATAAAATATAATATTATAGATGGCGCTAAATATCATGGAGATTAAAACTACAATTTAACATAACTTAAATACTTCCGAATTTGTTAATATTAATTAAATATTATTAAGAATCACTCCCTATTTAAGTAGGACAAACGTCCAATAATTAATAAAGAAGTTGAATATTACATAATATATTAACAAAATTATAATTGACTATTATCAGGTAAAATAATTGACTATATAATGTCACAGTTGTGACTGTGACTGCTATAATCATTTTGATTGGACAAATAATATTTAAAAGAAAACTATTGGCTAAATTTGATTGACATTTTTTGAGGATTATATATATAGATATCCAGGGTTGGGCAGTATCGCGGATTTTGGAAAGTATCTTGTATTCAGTATCTAAGATACATATTATTTAAAAGTATTTGTATCTTAACCAACTTTGTATTCAAAAAGATACAGATACTTTAAAAAAAATTTATATTGTTTAATTTAAATAGTATTAAAATTTAAAATGATATTGTTTTAAGATTTAAATAAAAAATTTAATCAAAATTTAGATATTTTAAGATAATTTTTGATATAGTTGGTCGCTGTCTATTTTAAAATTATGGAAGAAGAAAATAGAAAAATATGTTTATCTTCATCTTCAGATGATTCTTCAACCGAAAATTATAACAATAACTAAGAATACTTAATGGCAAATTTTTTGAAGTACTTCAAAATGATCATAATAAAGAAATTCATCGTGACTTTGGTATTGACGAAAAAGTTATAGCAACTGTTACAGATAACGGCTCTAACTTTAAGAAAGCTTTCAAGGAGTTTAGATATTCTATGGAAGTTGTAGAGAATGACTTTGACATCAATGATGATGAATGTATAGAATTCTAAATCATTGAAAGTATTATTTAATACTTCTTTAAAATTTATTATGATATTGTAAATTTAGTAAAAATTTTTATTCAAATAAAATTATTTATTTGTTTATTTAAGGGTTTAGAGAAGCCTCAATAACATTGCCTCAACACATTCGTTGTTTGTGCCATACGATAAGTCTAATTGCTACAACAGATGTCAAGAGCTATTAAGGATTCTCCTAACATTTCTAAAATTCATCATCCTGCAATAGCTAAATGTACTAAGCTATGGAATGCAAATAATAGGCCTAAAACTGCAAAACTTATCAAAGCAGTTTTAGGAAAACAATTAGTTACACCTTGTTGCACTAGATGGAATAGTTTGTATGATAGTCTTCATAGTTTATTAAAATTTAAAGGCGAACTTCCTAAATTATGTCAAAAATTAGAATTTCCTAAATTAAGAGATATTGAAATTCAATATTTAGAAGAATATTGCAATATAATGGCCCCATTGACTATAGCGATTGACAAAATACAAAGTGAAATCAACTGCTATTATGGAGAATCAGCTCAAATTTTAAATGTCGTTAAAAAAAATTACAAATTTAATTCAAACCAATCTACAATTTTGCAAACCATTAGCTGTTGCCATAGAAAATTATTTAAATAAACGATTTAAAAATATATATGATTTTGATAACAATTTTAAAAGTGCATTTTTGGCAACTATTTCTCATCCCTATTTTAAAAATCGTTGGATTGATGGTGAAAAAGAAAAAAAATACCTTCAGGATTTGTTATTACATGAAATTTTAATTGTTTTTAAAAATAATATTGAAATTAATACTTCAACAAAATCTTCAATTGATGAAGATGATGATTACTTTTGCCTTAAAAGTACCACATCCAATTCTAATAATTCAATGAATGATATTGAAATAGAGGTCCTAAATTATATGAAAGATGACAGGCGGAGTATAAATATGTTAAATAGTTATAAATATATAAAAGAATATTTATTAAATATAACACAGTATTACCCTCCTTAGCCCCCGTTGAAAGATTATTTAGCCTTGCTAATATGGTTAATAGACCAAGTCGTCAAAGATTGAACGATAAATCATTTGAAAAATTAATTATATTCAAAAATAATGCTGATATATGATGCTGATTTATTATTATTTACTAATTATATAATTATTAAATGGAATATCGCATTATCTTTTATAATAAATTTGTTATTTTCTACAATTTATTTTAAATATTTTTTTATAAATTTATACTACAGATAATAAAATAAAGCTTTATACATTTTGATTTTGACTATTTAATGTTTTTTAAAAAAGTATCTTGTATCTTAGATACTTTTTTTTAAAAATACAAGTATCTTGTATCTTATATCTTATTGAAATTTTTCTAAAGTATCTAGTATCTTGTATCTTAAATACAATATTTTATAAAGTATCTGTATCTGTATCCGAATATAATTTTCTGAAAATTTGCCCAACCCTGTATATATCATTGAGTGGATTATTAAAATGCAATTCAATTGAAAAAGAAATTTCGATCAATTGACGCTATCGTGAATTATCATGTGTTCCAAAATCAAAATTATGAAAAGTTAAAAAATTTTAGCGTTTGAATGGAGCATAAATACAAAAACAACTCCAGTCAAACTAATTATGATAGTAATATACTATCGATTGATCCTAAAAGAATGAGCCAAACTTCGATGAGAATATTTGAGAATCCCCTAGAGATTATTTTTGCTCAAAATGATATAATTGAAGAGAGTGCCCAATTATTCCAAAATTTTTTAAGAGAAGAAATCATTAGAGCTGGTCATTTACAACAAAATATTATTCTAAAGTAAAATTTTTTGAAATCACAGTCATCTAATATTATGAATTTACAGTTTACCAATTCAAAATGCATTTAAAGATCCTATTTGGATAAAATATGGTAATGATTTAAGACAAATTGCAGATGCATTTTCAAACACAAAAGAAAGGGAACAGATTTACAATAAAGCAAACCAAGTTATTTTATTCCAAACCAATTTGTTTGATTAAAATACAATATAAAATTATAATGTCTATTTTATTTATATTAGTATAAATACTTTAATGTATGTAATTTTGATTAAATTAGCATAAATATAAATTGATTATTTAATATGAGATTTATATTAATATTTACTATTTAATTAATAGGTTTCATTGTGTACACTAACCTTGGAACATTTTATGGATCTCCTTACAGAAATATTTTGTTTTTTTCCAGCTCAATTCAATATCACAAATGAACTCAGAATAGTAATTCTCTTTCTTTTTTCCAGTGATCTCATTATAAGGACTATCAAAAATAAATCCATGTTAACATTACAATTATTTAATTCTTTGACATACAACCAAAATGATACAATATTACCTTTGTTCCAATGGACTGTAGAATATATCAAACATAAATTAAGTGCATGGGTACAATCAAGAGGTGGCTGGAAATCTATATTGGACAAAAATAATCATAATAATTATGATAATAGATTATCTTATAATATTGAACCAAAAAATGAACAAAGTCCTTTTTTTTCTGGTCCTAAATTACCAATATTATTTTCATTTTCTTTAGGAATCTCATTAGGTATATTAATAGCATTGCATTTACTCAGACAAAAAGCTCAAAAGTTATAAAATCAGTATAATGTTTGTAATTTTACCACAATCTATATTTATATACTCCATATGCAATTTTTTTTATGTCAAATTTTTATAATGAGCATATTTTCTATTTTGATTGTGATTTTTGTGATATTCATAAAGATTACCCCTTTTTAAATATAGTAATGGGTGCCCAACAGATTGGCTAAATGTCATATGCCCTTTACCTAGAAAAATTAAAACAATTTTTAAAATAATTATCAATTACAATATAGTATTACTCAATTTTCATACCTACAATATCCCTTAATAATGTAAATTTTGAAATTGTTTGCTTAAAAAAAGAGTTATAAAATTGTTAGCTGAAAAAGAAGTTATTTTTTAAAATTAGAAAATAAAAATTCAATGAAAAATAATATTTGAGCCTGCTGAGATTGGAAAGCTAGTGATGACACTTCAATTAATAGTATGAAATTATTCTTTTAACCATAAAGATATAAATAATATTGAAAATAATATTAGCAAATCAATTACTTGATTAATGGCAAGTCAAACATATACAAGATATTATTTTTTTTAAACAATGAACAGAAGTAATAGAAAAATAATCACATTGGAGGATACCTACCTAACAAAGATGAAATGTAAGAGTATATTCCTTTACTGACAAATAAGGAGACTTTATAGCTGTAAACTATTATATGAGGTAATAATATTTTTTTCTTTGTTAATTATTTATTATAAAATTTTTGCAAAGAATATGAATCTAAATTATTTGCCAATAAATATTTATAAGTTTTTTTTAAAGTATACATGCCCCCTCTAAGGAAAAATTATTCTATTGGTGCCCTTTAGATTATGTCTGCTATCAATAATTATATTTCTAAAAAATATTGTACAAAACCTTATCATTATTTATATAAATAAATACGTTGTATGTAATTTTTTTAAAAAAATTCTATAATTCATATATTTTTTTTAATACTTTTTAATTCAACAAGAAATATAAAGTAATTATGGAGAAAAGAATAAAATATCAAAAGCAAAAAAGTTTATCACGTTGCTTTCGTTTTATTTTATTATTTAAAAATACGTTCTTGAACATAATATAATTCTGATTTTCTGTAGACTAATTATTTGTCCTAAATCTTTATTGTATAAAAAAAAATTTGCATTAAAAAATTGTTGGTTCGCATCTATAAAGTGCTACATCATCATCAAAATTTGTGGCATCACTTTTCATCATTCAGTTTGGTATCTTCAGCAAATAATCCTGAAAATTGATGCGTTTTAGGGGTTTTATACCTTTTTTCTTTTTTTGATGAATCGAATAATTTGTTGTCTTTGGGTGAATGTTGTATTGTGCTTTCTAGCGCCTTTTTTATGGTATTTTGTTTGATATTTTTATTATTATGAAGATTGTTATAAAATAATTTTTTACTATTATTAATGGAGTAGAGGGATATTTATAAGATCATTACGAATTATTATAGTATTTTAATTTGATCTTATTTTGAGATAAACAAATAAATCTTTAATACTAAAAAAAATAATTATGAATTAAGTAAGAAAACTTAAAATAATTTAATAACATTTTTTGAGCCTGAATTGCTCTTCGAATATATTATTTTTTCTAATTATTTACGTATACTAATCAACGCAAAAACCGATGTTTTACCTTTTCCTGATGATCATTGTTTACTAAAGAACTGTACGGCAAATCCATTATGGAATAGGCGCTTTGATTAGCCAAAGACGGCTCTATCATCCTTTGCATAGTCAATTTATCTTTTAACCGTTTTTTAAAAGATTTTTGATTCGAATCTCCCTTTTCCCAAAATATGACATCTGGACTTTTTCTGGACCCATTACTTCCGTTTATTTTATCATTTTCGTAATGATTTTTGCCATTTGGAGAATCGTTTGCTCTTTTGGACGTGTTTATCACCATTTCTCTGTTTATAATGTCGTTGAATTCGGAATTAGTGTTATCTTTGATCAAAGATCGGTTTTTGAGAGCATTTAAATCTTTAGATGAATAAGCCATTTTTCTCGGCTTATTCAATTTGGCTGTAGGTAAATCATTATCGTTCTGTTTATTGTTGAAATTTAGGTTATTTTTAGTTAGAGTATCCTGAAACATCTTGTAACGTTTGTTATAGCTGTTTACCCTATTTTCCACTTCTAGCGATTTTGATGGTGAGATATCCGATGCAACGATTTCTTTCTGCTTTAATAAGAATTTATTTGATAAAAAAAAATGGAGATTAAGAAATGTTATCATAATAAAAAGATAGAGGAAATAATCATATTATTTTTTTGCAACTAGTATGCTAGTTTTATCCAAAAGAACCTAAAATGAAAAATTCCTAACCAAGTTGAGCATAATAGGGATTATCTTTTAAATTAAATGTAACACTTGAATATTCTTGAAAGCAACTTTTAAACAACCTTATATGTTAACATTAATTTAAAAAAATATTATGTTTAAGCTAATATACAAACTTATCTAATTTACAAATAACTAGAGGCTTAGCTAGTTTTTACAAACTGTCTAGTTTACCAACTAGATCTATAAAAACTAGCTAGAGTCTTAGCTAGAATATACAATTCAGCTAGCAATATATATTTTTTAATTTGTTGATTTTTTAGAATCAATATTCCCTATTTTTTGAGTATTCTATGCTTTTTAACTTTTTTTTCTTATCGGTTATGTATTTTTTAAACCCATTTTTGATTAGTTTGATTTTTCAAAAAATTGCTCGCATCTTTGTCTTTCATATTTTTTTCTCCCATTTTTGAATAATTTATAAAAAAATGTAACTTAATTTTTCTTTTCCACCCATTTTTAATAATTTAGTTATTTTATTCATATTTTTGAATGAGAGGGGACTGGAATTTTTCCTTTAAATGATATTTACATATATATATGCAAATCTTTCATAGAGGGGATTTCCCGTTCTCCCTTGGCTACCACAATGTCCAGTGATAAGATTTATTAGATGGTGCGATTTCTTAAGCTTATTTATTATATATTCCTTATGGATTTATGAATCCTTCTTTTTCTAATTATTCGAAATTTCTTTTTATTTTTTAAACCTAGCCACTTTGTTTAAAATTATTTACTTTTTTTATTTTTATTTTCCTCGCGGTAACAATAGATTCAAAACAAGGCTTATAAAAGAATAGAATTAAATCCCGCCGTTATTTCAATATGAGACTAATAATAATCAATTTGAAACAAATCTTTAAGTACTCTTTATAAAAAGGAATGTAAAGTAGAAACAAATCGAGAAAAATTTTTAACATCCTAGATAATTTCACTACCCAGAGAATTTGATTCTAAATTTTCATCATAAGAAAAAACCATAAAATCTGTTGGCAATTATGATTCCAAGAAGATGGATTATATCGAATACGACTTAAGGTGTTTCTGAAAATGATTTTACGAGAAATGAATTAGCTTTATGTGATCTAAGTTAGTATTGAATCTATATTTAAAGAAAATATATAACGCTATGGGAATCGAGTGAATTCTTTATTACCGAAACATTGTAACATACAAAAAATTCATATATAATTAAATAAAACTTTAAAAAAAATATTAAAACCATGTAAGCTGTGGTGAGGGGGGGGGGGGGTATATAAAAGTAGACTAAAATGAAGAAAAAAAAATCAATAAAGAAAATCATGAAAAACTCCCAAAATTGGAAGTATCAGAACAAGTTAAAATTAAGATATATAAGGCTAAAATCATTAAATTCTCAAAATGGTATTCAAAAGATTTAGTAAATCTAAACGAAAACCCAAGAAAATTACTAAAAGACACAATTATCCATTAAACTCTTTCTGATACAAGAAAAAAACTGCTCATAAATGTTTGTTTTGTTTATAAATCAATTATAAAATCCGAATCTTTTATAAAATAAATGGTGGTATCTACCATTCTCACCCATTCATAAGAAGGGCTGGAAAACGTTGCATATCATATCTTATTTAATCCTTAATCAACTAAATTAATATTCTATAGCCCTTAAAATAAAATTCTAACAAGACTTATAATTATATGAAATTACTTCGTCCATTATTTGATCAAATCTTCCTCCCCTTTTTCCGGTGTCTGTGTCAAATTCTCTTCCAATGTCAGGCTCAAATTTTTTTTCAATGTTAATGTCAAATTTTCTTCCAATGTCATCATCAAATTTAGTGGTCACCTCATAAAAAATTAATTTCAATTTGTCTTCTTCCTCTACAAATTTATCATTTTTCTTATATTTCTTATCTATTTCAGATGCTTTCGAAATCAATTCTTTCATTTTTTTCTCCAGCTTATCCTTCTTAAACTTATCGAATTTACTACTAGATTTACTTCGATAGTAGATGCGTTTATCCATATTTTCAATTTTAGCTAACAGCATTTTACTCATTTTAACATCGTATTGTTGATATTTACTAATCAAGGATAACAAAACTTTATCGTTCATCTTTTCACCTCGAATGAAAGACAAAATGTATTTCAACAAATATTCCATATTTCTATTTTGTTTTTTAATACCTTTGGAAATTTTATTGGCGAGTTTCTTGGTTAGTTTTTGAAACATACTCTTTTCTTCGTCTACCAAAACGTTAAAATTTGGAGTTTCTTTAAGCGGAATATTCTCCACTGTTGTACAAGTAGTTATTGGAGGAATATAAGGTGTAGTAGGTTTAGTTTGCTTATTACTCATCAAGAAGGCAAGTATTTTTTCGATGTTCCTTTGATTTTTATTTATTTTACCGCTGATAACCTTCATGAAAATAGGGTATTTCTCACTCAATATTTTCCCCGTAGTTTGTTCATCATCATTTTTTGTTGAACATGTGGCCTCGTCGGTGCTGCTTTCATTGAAATCCATCACATTCTCGGTGAATGTTTTTTTTCGCTTTTGTTTGATTACATTCAATGTCAATGAATGAATTTTAGGTTGAGCTTTTGCAAACGCCTCCTCAGAACTCAATATATTTTGAGTCTTCTTCAACATTTTTGACACCGATTCTGATGACACATTGTTTCCAGACTGTTTTTCTAAATATTCATTCATAAACGTTTTCAATTTGTTCATGAATAGTAGTCTAATTTTTTCTTTTAACTTACGGCACTCGGTATGGGGGTAACTCATAACGCATTTTTTTTTATATCTTTTCAGTAGTACTTGGCTCGGTGAATCGGGCAATAAAATTTCGTCAAAAGTTTTGTAGTTAGAATTTTGGCCTATTTTTTTGTTAATGAAATGTAAAGCAGATATTCCTTCGCCGCCAAGTATTTGCACTGTGTTTGAAGCACCGACACTCCTTGCATGTCTTAAATTTCTGATTAAAAATTTTTTAAAAGCTAAAAATGGTTCAGAAAAAAATGTCAATATTATTAGCCATTGTAGCCTTTACTAAATAATTTAAAATAAATTCATATTATTAAATTATCGAATGAATTATATTTTATCTTTAAAATATTTAAATTATAAACGTTATTTTTTACTTTTGTTGGTCAGCTGTAATTAAAGGACTCTTCCAAAGATTAAAATTCAAGAATAGTAACATAAAAACTACGAGATTTGATTCATTAGTACCATCATTATTAAGGAACATGGATTGAATCTATGATCATTTAATATGAGCATAGTATGTTCGTATCAGCTAAACAAGTTTATTTTACTATAGAACATTAAGATTTTTTATAATAAAATTTATTAGATATTATAAATTTGATTTTCTATAATAGAATTCTTTTAATTATGCATTTTTTTGTTTTTAAAGATTTAAAACTGTTATCTTATAATATTTCAACGTTAAAAACATAAGCAA